TATATATATATAGGCTCATCTAAAAAACTGTTTTTGAGAACAATAAAAAGTCAAGTTCTCACAATAAATGTAGCTTCTTCAAAATGTAGTTTGGAGTTGTTGTTTTTGCTCCTGTTGTCACCATAGTGTGCCAAAAACAGATTTCTGTGGATCAGAAAACATGGAGGAAAGTATTTTGAAGTCCAATCCTTTGCTTTTTCAACTTTTACTCCCTTTCTTTTTTTTTCTCAGTTCCAATGTCTACTCTGTAGCAGATTAAAACAGCTTCACTGTGTTCTTGCACACACAAACACACACATGCTGGAAGTATTACCTCCTTTGGGCTTTATAATTCCCTGTAAATTCCACCAATGACTGAACTGTGTTGTGCATTCCTGCCTCTGGTAGCCTCGGCATCTCATCACATACGAGGAGTGCAGGCGGGCTGGGTTTGAATAACAAGAAACTGACAAGGAAAAACTGAAAGAAAAAAAAAGGAGAACAGGCAAAAATAGGACAGAGAGAAGTAGTGATTGTAGCAGAGTGTGGCTCTGAGCAGTCGGCTGATGATGTGAAGAGCTGCACACACATCTGGAACAGCTTGTGCAGCTGCACCTGAAGAGGAGAGTTCCTCCGCAAAGCTTCTGCCGGCACTTTCTCATTCCTCGTTTTTGTCTCTTTCTCTTTTTTTTGTTCTTAACGTGTTTTCTCTGGTGGTCTGTAAATCTTTTTTCTCTCTAGTTACTGGCTGCCAGAACGATGGGATGATTTCCCGCTGTGCATCAGAAAAGAAGAGTGTGTAATCCGGAGGGAACGAGGAGAAGAGACATAAGGGAGAGGACATTAACATGGGAAGGAATTATTAGGCACGAGGTAGGAAAAAGAAGTTCATATATTATGACTGTAGGCGAAGAGGAGTGGGAGCAGGAGATGTTTATAGAAAAAAGAGGAGGATGGAGGTAAAGGCAAAAAGGGGATTAAAAAGCCAGAATGCACACACACTGAAGACCTGAGTTTCTGTTTGCATTTGGCACAGCACATCCTGTCACTCCACAGGTTTAATCGTGGGTACAACTCTTTACCAACACCCTCACTTACACACCTGCTTACTGTTTGCTTTGGAGGATGATCCCAGGAGGCCACGCCAAGAGAAGAGAACACCTTCCAAGAAACTATTAAACCTTGAATCTGTTGCCTCCCATTCTGCTTCCCAAAAATGCCCACCTTCCTCCCCTTCCTCCCTCTTTTTGGTCTTCTGAGCTTACCTTTGCGAGTCATAACAAGCTGCAGCTGCAGAGTCACCGAGTCACACTCACAGAGAGCCAAGAAACCCCGGAATGCCCTTGGGACTCAGCTGCCGTCACCCTGACTGAGGAGGAAAGACCGAGGCGTTCGAACTGATCCGCTGACCTACATGATGTCCAAAGTCTCCAGGCTTGCTCGGCCCTCCTCGGCAGGAGCCGGGTCCAAGCTGCCCTCCCCGAGGAAGGAATGCCCTGGCACAGCTGGTGTGGCCAGTCGTGTGCGGGTGCTGAGCGTGGGCGAGAAGCTGATGAGGGCAGGCAACGATAATGTCCCGAACAGACCGAAGCATGCAACAGGATCTGAGACTCCAGCCCCTGACCAGGGTCCTGGTGAGAAAGACCAAACTGTGGATGTAGTCTCTTCTAAGAGCAGGATCAGCCCACCTAAAGCATCGAGTCAGCAGCAGAACTCTGTGAACAGTAAGTAAAACAAAAACACATGGAATCAGAAAAGTAGCTCGTCTCAAATGATTTTTTTTTAGTTTCTGTGTAAAAACATGATCAATGCATTTTCAAAATTTTAATTTGAACTACATATTTTCTGTACTAAGTCATAAATTTGTTTAAAAACAATTGCAAAAATCATTTATGCCATCTGCATTTTTTTGCATGAATGAAGAAAATTTTTAATGCTGCAATTTGCTTTAAAAATCTGCTTAAAATCTCAAGTCTTCAGAAAAAAATGGGATAAAATCTTGCTTTTGCTGCTAAAAGAGCTCAAAACCTCAAAGACAATTTTGTTTCTCTACAGACATGAAGACATTAATTAAAAAAATAAGTAGCCTTTCAAAAGTTAGCTTAAAAAAAGCTCAAAGTTACAGTTAACTTAAACTGCTTTCCCCTTTTTATCCCCCCAGAAAGCTGCATGCCTTTTTCCCATGTGTCTTCTTCTTCCTTAATTCTAGCATAGCAAAATAATTAAGTTTAAAGTAATTAATTTAAAAAAGTTTATTATTGATGTATGGGATTTCTGTCGCTCTCCCACTGTGTTGATATCCACTGGCTCTTATCACTCCCTTTTGGACCTCTCACCAGATTCCCAACTCTGCAGGGCACCAGCTTTCATGTCCACTTAGCACAGATACTTTCCACACTCTGAAACCTGAACAGGATTTTTGTGAGGCTGAAGATTTATTTATTGTCTATAATGTTAGTGGCTGCTGAGAGTCTGACAGATCTGATTTTCCCCCTCTTTTTTGAGTTATTGTAATGTTTCCTGTCATTCACTCAAACCGTTCTTGAGTGATTCGCTTGTAGTCAAAGACAAGAAAGTGTAAGAGGAATTTAAGTGTGGGGGTGATGGAGATAAAGACTGTGAGGGGTGAGTCAAATAGAAGAGTGACAGAAGGAGGTCAGGAATGTGAGCTGGGCATGCTGGGAAATCAGCAGGTCCTGAGTTGTGCCTGTGTGTGAATCTCATTGTAATAAGGACAGGTTAGGGGGTTGTTAGGGGGCAGGTTCTTGCTGGAAACCAGATGTTCTCATCTGTTCGGCTTTCAGCTTTATCCAAATAAATGGTCCGTTTACAGAGCTGATTCACTGATTTACTTCTAACAAAGAAGTCTGTTTTCCTTTGCTGTAAAAACCCAACTTTCAACCTCACATTTTTAAGTGAACTGCTTCTTTACAGACACAGATCGTGTTTTTATTACATTTTCAAATATGTATTATTTTGTCTTCTGTCCTCCCCTCACTCATCATAATGACTCTTGGACATTTTTTCCTCATAATCATCATTTCTTATCATTTCTTTTGAGTCATGCTCTTCCTCATGTCTCTGTCTTTGATTATGCTTTGATTGCATTTAATTTTTGAATGCCCTTGATTGACCCCTTCACACACTTATATGCGTGCAAAGACCATCAAAAAGAATAAATGAACTGTTCTCCATGTTTGCCTCTGTCCTGCAGTAATTTTTTAGGTGAGCGTTTTTCTTTGGAGGCTGCTAGAAGTTTGTTAAATCTCTGGACACTAACTTTGAAGTTATGCAGGGGAAAAGGCAGTGGTTTAGTAGTTTGGTCTCTCCAAAAACTTGCAGTAAAGTTGAAAGATTCCACTACGCTTTGATATATATACATAATGTTCATAACTTCAGGCAACTTCCTCTCACTACATGAAACCAAGTGCCCCAATATTTGCATTTAAAATAGGCCTTTGTTGCAGCCTAATAGCAGGTTGTCATATAATTTGCTCGTTTATGGTTTATATACAAACAAAACCCATTAATGTGGGAAGCTCTAACTGTGCGAATTCGCTTTTTCCCAAGCTAATGAGAGTGTCCGTGCATAGCGACAGCTAAATCACAAGCCTGCAGGGTCAAACAGAGCTGATGCTCACACTGCTGGCAGACAATAAGTATGTGTGACAGGTGACATTTCCTCTGTGTGAAAGCTTCAGAGGTGACTGCTGCTCACCAAAGGACCCAATTTCAGCCTTAAAGTGGAAGCTCCCTTCAAGAGTGAAATCCGTTTGACAAATTTTGTCCAGAGAGGGTATAACTTCAAAATCAGACATAAATTTAAGGTCAAATTCCCTTTTGATATTACAAGCCGCCACCTGAAACCATCATTTAGAAACTTTTTTGGCTTCAAGAGTTTGTAATTGTTTCAGTTATTGTCAACTTCTCAAAGCTTCTAAAAGGTGCAACATTAAAATCTTCAATTTCTTCTTTTCTTCTTTGGAAAATTTTACATTTTTGTGCTCTATTCATGTAAATGTAAACATGAATGTATATTGTAACGCTGCAGTTCTTAACTTGAAATACAGGATGTGTGTATGAACTGAGTACAGAAAAGACTAGAAAATGGATTATCTCTTTTGCTGATTTTTCATTTTTAGAGCTTTGCCACCAAATAAACAGCTTTGAACATTGTCGTACAGTGAGATGTTAAACAATCTAATTCTGATGGACATAATGGCATAACATATACCAATGATCTATAATGGCTGCATGGTATATTAACAGTTAATTACTGAAGTTTTAAAATAAATGCACAATATCATCAGGTTCCTTTTGGGAACTCTGTAAAGTTGATAGATGCAAAAACACATATAATGTTACAACTGTGATGACAAAAATCCATCAAGAGGAGTAAGAAAGATGTGGTATTTGTCTGTTACAAGTTATGTCACTACTGCCTACAACATCTTGCAGTTAGTCAGTCCTCTTTTTGATGGACCAGTGTCACACTACATGGGCGAATAAGAACCAAAAGGAATGATTAAGCTCCAGTAAGCATTGTGATGATAGAATTATTTTTTTTTTAAATAAAAAATCAAAGTAGGGGTCCAAGAAGCAATCAAACTAACTTCTGTTAGCCCTGACCTCACTACCTAAACCAAACTAGTAACCCTGGTCCTTAAATTTAACCATGGACCTCAATCCAAAGCCTCTTTCTGGCACGTCGATAACTGACGTGAGGGGGGGTGGTACCTGACACGTCAAAACCAGGCGAAGCGGGAACCTGATCAAGCGTCAACATGCGACATGTAGGGAGCGAGAACGTGTTGCTTGGTTATATGTAACAAGAGCAGGGCCAGCAAAACAGAAAACCATTAAAAGTCTTGATATAAAAACACTGACAGAATAAAACAATACAGTGAACACTGGAGTTAAAATGAACTTAACCAAATATAACTTAATGTCTGCTCGTATCGCACTTTTAACATGAAAATCAAGAGAACTCTAGGGCTGCAGTGCATGCTTGAGCTTAAGTAGGTAAGCCCCATGAATTGACTAAAGCATCTGGAAAGGTTAACGTCTGGAAAGACTCAAGCCGATAATGACTTAACCTCTTTTTTGCTGTCCTATCAGTCTTTGTTATTGTCAAACCTCCTGGACTTTTATCAGCCCCAGACAAACGGTGATATTTTTTCATCACATGTTTAACCGTACGGGCGTTTTGATCTTATGACCCGTCAGTTGGGGATTTGTCCTCAAGGTGCTCTGATTCTGGATGACCTCACCTCCTGATAAATACAAAGAGACTCAGTAAAAGGAACTTGTGTTTTTCTGCATCTGGCTGTGGATTGTGTAACCACATCACTATGTGCTGAGTTGCTTCAGCTTGTTTTTGAAGGTTAGTAAGACATTTCAGAGTACATGTGCATGTCTGTCTGTCTGAAACAATGTTTAAAACATATGAATCATTGGTGGGGGGAGTGTGATTTGCCTGAACATGCTTACAGCTTAGCTCAGTGTTAATACTATAAGAGTTGTGTTTATCTGCAGCTAACTTTTTCTCCTTTTTTTTAGCAAAATAGTTGAAAGAGCAGCTTTATGTGCTGGAAATGAGTTTAAGTGTTGGAACGTGATCACTCATTGCTTTGACACTGAATCGTGGAGAGGGGGATTACATTAATTGTGGTCTCTTGTGACTCTGAAATCTCCGTATTGTCCCAGACTTTTCATCGTTAACGACTACCAGAGTGCAAAATTAAATACCAAACGCTTTCCCAGTTGAGCAGTAGGCACATAAAATCTACAAATATGTCAGATGCATTGGAAGTCTGTTCAACAACTTGACGTATCTGTTTCAGAACTGAACCAATCTGGCAGTCTGTGGAGCCATACGACAGTCGTCTTTAAACCTTTAGTTGAGAAAAATGATTTTCAGTTGGCGTTTCATGAAACAGACTTTAGCTTCGAATGACTCGAGTTGTTACTTGAGTAGGAGGCTGATTACAAGCAAAACCCCCTGCTTTCACTTTTGAATCGTGCAATCACGAAACTTCGTTTCATGATCTCAGATGATTTACTTGCAGTGAGACCTTGCTGGTTTCATCCATTTGATTATAACTGAGAAAATGTGTTGAATTGGCTTCATCTAGTTAAAAATACACCCTTCATATCATAACAATGGTATCTCAGAAACCAAAAATAGATTTCCCCACCATATGGGTGCAAAATTAGCACACTCAGAGGAAATAATTAAGCCTGTTTAATCAATGTCAGCTCAAGACAGAGTGTTGAAAAGAATCCGGTTCAGTTTTCCCCAGTTCTTTGTCAGGCTTGAGCAGACCTCAGTGCCATTTGTGGAGGTCGTCAACATCTAGAGTTAGTTTTTGTCATGTACTCCCTCTTGTTTATCAGAAGTATGATTTTATACTGAAAATAGACTGAGTAATATATACATTTCTAATTTTAGCACCAGCTGCATTAAATGACATACAGCAGTGATTTTTTTTAGATCAGCTGTTCAGAGAAATCTATCATATCCCTTTATCAGTAATAGATGCAGCAGCAAGTTTTTTGGTATTCAGTGTTTTCTGTGTATGACCCAAATGAGCGAGAGAACTATGTTTAAAATTGAACTAAAGCGTATTCTCTCTGTTTGATTGCATATTCAGCTTCTGCCATCTAACTCCTATTTTATTTACAATAAAGTAGTTTAGCCATCAAGGTTATTTACATTTTTTAG